TAACACCCACAACAAAACTAACAAGGTAGACCCACAAAACTGAAAATATAAGGGGGTAGAGATAACAAAGGTAGAGTGAGTGGTATCATCGTCTGCGTAGGAGGACACTGAGAAAAGCCACACATCATTTCAGACTTGAGATTCCCCAAAGAACCAACAAGAACTCACTGGAAAGCCAGAGGGTCAACCTGAGAACAGGAGCTGAAACCAAGAAGAGTTCTGCACACTTTAATCTTTACAAATTCGCCAAACTAACCATCCAAAACTTGCTTCAAGGCAAAGTCTCACACTGAGAAATTTGTGGAAATTGGAATCCAAACGGTAGCACAGGACTAGCAAGAAAAGGAAACAAGAGGTCCAGATAACAGCAAAGGAAAAGAACAGAACCAGTTTTATTTTAAAAGCTGCCATATTGTTAACACTTCGCAAAAACAACAGAAGAGGGGACCCTAAAGCAATTACATTAGAAAAGCTTTCCTGAACCGGCCTCCTTCATGAAAACTAATTTCATATAAAAATGAACAGGAAAATATTATGATCAAATACCATACAAAAATTATGACAAGAAAATAATGACAATAACATCCCTACAGATAACAAAAGCAGAAAAGACATATCTACAAAATAGATGAAAACTATAACCTATTATTTCACAACAATTTTTTCCTTTTTTTTTACAAAGTAGCTATGTATATTAGTCATATTTCACAATTCAAAAGCATTAACAAAATAAGATATGAAAAAACATTATATAGAATTAGAAAAATTCAGAAATGAAGTACTAGAACATAAAAGTAATTAGAGGCTAGGTGTGGTATATACTCCTGTATTCTCAGCACTCTGGGAAGCTGAGGCAGGAGGATTGCTTGAGGCCAGGAATTCAAGGTTACATTGAGCTGTGATCATGCCACTGTACCCCAAGCTTGGGTTAACAGAGTGAGACCCTGTCTCTAAAAAAAATTAAAAATACTAAACTAGGCTGGGCGTGGTGGCTCACTCCTATAATCCTAGCACTTTAGGAGGCCGAGGCAGGCAGATCGTTTGAGCTCAGGAGTTCGAGACCAGCCTGAGCAAGAGCAAGACCCCATCTCTACTAAAAAAAATAGAAAGAAATTAGCTGGATAACTTAAAAAAAAAAAAAATATATATATATATATATTTGCCAGGCATGGTAGTGCATGCCTATAGTCCCAGCTACTTGGGAGGCTGAGGCAGGAGGATCGCTTGAGCCTAGGAGTTTGAGGTTGCTGTGAGCTTGGCTGACGTCACAGCACTCTAGCCTGGGCAACAGAGTGAGACTTTGTCTCAAAGAAAAAACCAAAACCTAAACTAGAAGTTATATAAGAAGATAAAAAACACAACAGATAACATATAAGAGAAAGGAAAGTGAGAATTAAGCTACTAATGATAGCACTAAATGAGTGTTATAAGGTGGGGAAATAATACCATGTGACAGTATGTGCTCTGGTGACATAAAAGCTCAACCATTTTAAAACATGAGGAGAGAATGGGGAAATAATATAGTATTAGTAAATTATTAGTATTGTGTGTAGTAATTTGGGAAAAAACAAATGAGTAACTATGTAGTATTACGGTTTTGTCATTCCGAGTGTCTTTGAGAACCAGAATTTGGTGTGAAAGGAAGGAGAACAAACATTAGACAAATGTGGTTTAGTAAAAAACCCTTGGCACAAAATTTTAATTGGAAGTCTTAGTATAAACTCATGAAGTAATATGTATTTCCTACTTCCATACACAAAAAAGGCCTAGAAAGAATAACCAACCCAGCAGCAATGAGCATTCCTAGTACCCAAACTAAAATTCCACTTCCCACAAAAAGAAATCAAGGATTCTTAGAGAAATGGCTGATGCCAGACCTAGAAGAGGAAATGTACAAAATGAGTCTAGAACATTTCTCCATGGGAGATAGCAAGGAGGCTACACAAACTACTAAGCTTAGGAGTCAACCTGAAAAGGCTCCCATTTGTCAAAAATGGAACAATTTGAGCATCAAAAAGGATAGTAACTGCAATGACTTAATACACATTAACTATATTTAAATCTATGAAATCAAATGATACTAAAAAATACAAACTAATTGGTCACCTTTGAAGAATAATTGGAAACCAATTCATTATTTTGAAAAAAGGATCCTGCCTTTCCTATATGACTGAGTAACCAAAAGAGTTGAGGGCAAGTTTCCTCTTATGGAAATATTTAAGCTAATAAATAAAGAAGGAATGATGTCATTAAAATATCATCATCTTGGAATCCTTATTAAGTTACTAGATCTAGGCATCGAGCATCAGTGGCTGCTAACACCACAAAAAGAAGCAAACAGTTTATGTGCCTCCTGACAGAACACAGTATTTCCTACAAAGTAGTCTTGCCAAAAAACTGAACCAAATGATGGTCAAGCTTCTAGAACCAAGTGCCAACTTACTGTAAATACAGAAGACAAACAGAACATTCTAGCAGCACCATGCAAATAGAATTAGCAAAATTCAGACTCTAGGAAACTCTATAAGTTAACAAATCTATTTTCTTCCAATTTAAAATATAAGGGGAAAAAAGAACAATGGGGGGATAACTTCTGGTTTAGAAAAGGTTTAAGAGATATTAAGTAAAAATAGACAAAATTAAGCCATAATATTTAGGGATGATTATTTTGGTAATAAAACTATAAAGAAAAGCAGGGCATGAATACTATACAAGTCAAGACAGTGGTTCTCAGCCTGAGCAAGAGTGAGAACACATTTCTACTAAAAATGGAAAAATTAGCTGGGTGTCATGGTACATGCCTGTAGTCCCAGCTACTCAGGAGGCCACGGCAGGAAGATCGCTTGAGTCCAGGAGTTTGAGGTTGCAGTGAGCTATGATGATGCCCCTGTACTCTACCCAGGACCATAGAGCAAGACTCTGTCTCCAAAAAAAAAACAACACAATGGTTGCTTCTAAGAGGTATAGCAATAGGGTGGGGGGAGGAATAGGACAAGGGACTGATAAACCTTTATTTTTTTTGAGAAAGGGTCTCACTCTGTTGCCCTGGCTAGAGTGCAGCATCATCAGAGCTCACTGCAACCTCAAACTCCTGGGTTCAAGCGATGCTCCTGCCTCACACTCCTCAGTAGGGACTACAGGTACAGGTACATGCCCAGCTAATTTTTCTATTTTTTTATAGAGACAGGTAAAACTTTTATCTCTTGGCATGGGTGGTGATTATAATTGTATTCATTGTGAAATTATTCATAAGTTATACATCATTTGGTCTATGCTGTTTTCTGTATGTAAGTTACATTTTACAAAAAAAGTTAAAAATTCATTTTTAAATTCTTACTTTTAGGAAATAAACTATTAGATACAACTAAGACTAATTAGATTTCTTCCTTCCACCTCTTCTTTCATCCTTTTTTTGTGTGTGGCATTACTGAAATAAAATTTTCTTATCTCTGCTTAGAAGACAATGTACAAGTGAAATGCATTCTTTTATTATCTCCTATCATATGTCACTGAAATCCATTAAGAATCCACATGAGCCGGGCGTGGTGGTTCACGCCTGTAATCCTAGCACTCTGGGAGGCCAAGGCGGGCAGATTGCTCGAGGTCAGGAGTTCAAAACCAGCCTGAGCAAGAACAAGACCCTGTCTCTACTATAAAATAGAAATAAATTAATTGGCCAACTAATATATATATAGAAAAAATTAGCCGGGCAGGGTGGTGCATGCCTGTAGTCCCAGCTACTCGGGAGGCTGAGGCAGGAGGATTGCTTGAACCCAGGAGTTTGAGGTTGCTGTGAGCTAAGCTGATGCCACGGCACTCACTCTAGCCTGGGCAACAAAGTGAGACCCTGTCTCAAAAAAAAAAAAGAATCCACATGAAAACCTTACTGGCAGCCATTTGATTTCAGGATGAAGGTTTCAGTTAGTAAATTAAATGTGATTTTTAATACTCTGTAGACATTAATTATATATCACATCTGGTGAATGTCAGTCAACATCTAAGGAAGATCGAGGAAAACAGCAAATGTCAGGTGATCTAATGGAAACCAACTTTGACTATCCAACCAGACCCATCGGTGACTGATCCAGGACACAACACAACAGGTCAGATTAGATGATGCTCAAGCCACCCTGGGCTCCACCTTGTCATGTTAACACAAATTCAATAGCCACGGCAAACCTCCACCCTTGCACAGCTAAGCGTTCTTTGCTCACGTTCACCCATCCAACATTTTTTCATCTGGCTTTTCTTTCCGAATGTTTCTGTTTCTCACTAGTTTTCAAGCAGTAGTGAAGATGGTAGGTAAGAAATGCTGGTGGGTATGAACTGTTGGTCTGATTGAAATGAATTCAAGCAAAATTGATGTGCTACTCCCAAGCATTATGTCTGATTATTTTATTTTGTTTGTTTGTTTGTTTGTTTGTTTATTTGGGGGACAGAGTCTGTCATTCTGTTGCCCCAGCTAGAGTGCTATGACATCAGCCTAGCTCACAACAACCTCAATCTCCTGGGCTCAAGCAATCCTTTTGCCTCAGCCTCTCAAGTAGCTAGAACTATAGGCATGTGCCACCATGCCTGGCTAATTTTTTCTATTTTTGGTAGAGACAGGGTCTCACTCTTGCTCAGGCTGGTCTCGAACTCCTGAGCTCAAAGGATCTGCCCGCCTCAGCCTCCCAGAGTGCTAGGATTACAGGAGTGAGCCACCGTGCCCGGCCCTGATTAGTTTATTTTAATTCACAAAAGGCCTGAGAAGCCACATAAAAAGTCATCTGCCTTGGAAATAATAGAGTCTCACTGACTTATAAAAAAGGAGCCCTCTACATTCAAGACATTTTTAGATTTGCAGCCTATCTTTTACTATAACTAAAACACATTAACTTTAAAAATACTCAACTCTATGTATTAGACAGTTGCGTGCCCATGTATTTCACATGAGCAATCTTCAAGAAATTTTACCTGGGAAATTGCAGAGCATATATAAAAAGTCAAGAACTACTCACTCATGTTTAAGGCAGCCATCCCTCCTTGTGGAGCTGCTGGGTAGACATTCGGTACATTCGTGGTCATAAAATCTGCAATCTGCTGTAATGCCAATAGGCCTGTGGGATTCTTCCCCTTCTTAAATTGTTCCTGTATCATTGATTCCAGTTCTTCACAGAAAGCCTAATAAAAGGCATATTAAAACAGTGAGAAACCATTTCTTTTTTATTCCTTGGGGTGTTGGGAGATAGAAGAAGCTACTGTAAAGACTAATTTTTTGTTTTCATCCAGTGTTAAACAGGCAAGTGGATATTCTCATACATTACTGTTGGGAGTATGAACACATACATTCTTTTCTGGAAAGTAATTTAACAATACAAACACTTAAAAATGTTAAGAGGAATTCTATTCCTAGGAATTTATTTTAAGGAAATAACCAGAATATGCTAAAAGATTTATTCATTAGGATGTTCATTCCAGAATTACTGATAAAAGGAAAAAAATCCCACATTTTACAGAACAGAGGATTGACTAAATGTACTGGGCATTCTATGCATGTATTCAACACGAACTCCTCCCCCAAAATTAAATGGCATAAAATTGCTGTTGATATATTCCTGAGTAAAAAATGCTACAAAGTAATATAAACAGTTTTTTGTAAGAGTAAATTACTTATCTAAGAATAGAAAAAGATTAAAAGTAAATACATCAAGATATTAATTATAATTCTCTTAGTGGCAGAAATATTAATAACTTTCATATTCTAATTTGTGTTTTTCAGTATTTTCTTCAAAATACTTTTCAAATTACTTTTTAAAAGTGAAAAAGGGAACCCTATAAAACATCCATCTTTTATCAAATAATCCTAAATTAGGCAAAAGAAGTCCAATTGGATTGATGGAGATTATAATATAAAGTCACTATTGCAAAAATAAAGATAATTTTTAGTTTCCCCAAACTGTCCTAAAATAATTTTTTCACATATCAAATAAAGAAATACATATCTCCTTGTCAAATAGCTTTAAGTGATCTCTAATATGAAAATACGGGCTCACTGGATGATGATCCATGTCTGATTATACTTGTTCCAGGACTCTGGATGATTCCATATTAAACTTTTTCCTAGTTTTCCATTGCTTGAGTTGAAAAGATATCGCAGGATATTACCAAGGGACAGTCTAAGTATACCTATCACTTGGGAGAGGCATACAAGAAACAAATGCATTGCTGTTAACTGAATTGTAGAAAAGAATGTCAGTCAAGAGCCCTATGAGGAGCCTCTGTCTACCAAATCATGATAAATAATGTTACAGATTATCTTCTGTGGTAGTCTATGAGGAAAGGAAAAGCTGGGAGATGCTTTGACTATAAGCCAGAAATAAAAAAAAAATTACCAAAACATAATTATTTAGCCATCTTTGTTATCAATGCATTGATATATACATTTTTTTCTATTTTATTTTTTTTTGAGATAGGGTCTTGCTATGTCACCCAGGCTGGAATGCAGTGGCCCAATCATATCTCACTGCATGTTCAAACTCTTGGGCTCAAGTGATCCTCCCACCTCAGCCTCCTGAGTAGCTGGGACTATAGGTGTCCACCACACCTGGCTAAATATATAGATATATATGTACAGATAAAGGTAGATATAGATAAAGAGGCAGATGGTGTCTACTAAACATCACAGACAATGCTGGTCATAGGGGACCAGCATTTTAATTCAGCAAAAACTGAATTAAACAAGCTTCCTGGCCTCACCCGCTCTAAGTCTGAAAATTCAAGCAATCTATTTCAATGGTTTTCAAATCCACATACATATCTATGGAAAGCTTAATACAACATACACTACTAAGTACCAGGGACTGTTTTAGGCACTAAGAATGTGCAAATGATAAGATGGAACTTAAAGCTTAGCAAGGAAATCACAAAAAAAAACATAGTACAGGAGCCTTATGCATCAACAGCATTCCAGATGACCTTTATATGCAGTAAGGATGCAGAGCACAGAGCTAAGCTCAGCAGTGACCAGTGAGAACCTAGGGCCACCCACCTGGACCCCAGCATCTGGCTCTAGCCACCAGCCTAACGCCCATGCATGCTACTTTGATCTTAACTCCTGATGGTTCAACATCCACATCCTTACATCTCAGCTTCCAGACTTTCTCTCCTGTGATGACTCTGCTGTCCATCCAATTTATCTCAGTCTCCCACTTCCATGGTCAAGCCCTAGACCTGTTCATTTCTAGTAACTGTGCCCCCTCTTCAATCTCAAAGCCAAGGATGTGCTCTCCAACCACCCCAACCTGGCATCCAGCTCACTCTATTTGCCATCTATTTGTGACCCTTTAAACACCCTTCTGACCACCCCCTTAACTGCTCTGTCCTGACCTCTCTCACCTGGCTTAGATCCACTGCAATGATAACACTGTAACCATTCCCTTGCTTACACCTTCAACGCTACCACTTCACCTGGCAAAACCTGGTTAACTTCAACTCTTCCTCCTTCTACTCATGCTATACCAAGTGGCTGGAAGGGAAAAACAAATATCAGCCCACATAATCATGCTGCGCTGCCTTGCCTCACTATAACTTCATGACCACAGACCTCATGTGTACCCTTCACCTGAACCCAGAGATCCTACTAGAAGTTCCTTGCCCTACACTTCACACCTTCTCTCTCCTCCAACCTCCTATACTATTCCCTGTGCCCATTCTCAATGGATGGCTCCCCTTGCCATTTCACTGTGAATAGAGAACCTGTCAGAAAAAAACTTTCCCAAGTTTGAGGATCTTCTACACCAGGCATCCTCAAACTATGGCCTGTGGGCCACATGCAGGTATTTTTGCCCATTTGTTTTTTTACTTCAAAATAAGATATATGCAGTGTGCATAGGAATTTGTTCATAGTTTTTTTTTAAACTACAGTCCGGCCCTCCAACAGTCTGAGGGACAGTGAACTGGCCCCCGTTTAAAAAGTTCAAGGACCCCAGTTCTACACTCTACCTTCTATTGGGCCCCCAAAATGAGAACATGAGCTAATCAAGTTTCATAGGGCCTCTCTGCTCTCCCTGGAGTAGGCTGGCCAGTAGGGGAGAAGGCGGCCATTGGAATGTGGCCCTGAGCAGGGCTTTAAGTCAGGCTATGTTGAAGTCAAAGGCTGTGCCCTCGCCAGCAAAGGAGAGGAATCCACTCCCAGTCACACCACCTTGTTTTCTTTCATTCAGCCCTGTCACACCATTCTTGAAACTGCTTGTGTCCTTAGATCAAACTGAGGGGCCTTCAAGACTCAAACCTTTCAGTCTGCAACACATTCCAAGCAACAGTCCAGTGCTAGGTCCTGAGGTGGATGCAAGGGACACAGAGATAGATGACATGCTAGCTAGCCTGGAAGGTCTGCTCAGACCAAATGGTTGGTGGCAGGTTTACGTGAAACTAATGGATCTTAAGTTTCAGGGCCCCTCGCTTGCATGGGTTCCTGGGAGAGCAGGGAGTGGCTGAAAGGTATGGAGTATTCCAGGTGGAGAGGGGAAGCCACCCTGAGATAAGGAAATAATTGTGTGTTTCTAACAAATTGCCTAAAAAAAAAGAGAGAGAACTTTCCCAAGTTCCCTCTCAAATCTAGCCAACTATTGGCATCTGTGCCCACAGAGTCTCCCTTCCTATCCCCCAAATCAACCCCTCCACCTGTGTGCTGGATCCTACCCCATCCCCTGCCATTGCCAACTCAGGGAACTGGTGCTTGGGGTCATCAGATTTTCTCTCTCTATTGGATATTCCCATCAGCATGCAAATACACTATCATTTCACCCATCTTACAGGAAAAATTGTCTTTCAATCTTACATCCCCCTCCAACTACTGACTTTGTACAGAAATGAGCAAAAGGCCTCAAAAGAACAGCTTATCTTTGCTGTTTCTGATTCCTCTCCTCATATTTTCGTTTGGATCCACCGAATCTGCCTTTTATCCCCATGGGCCATGTTCCTCAAGATTACCAAAGACCCACACACTGTTTTTTTGTTTTGTTTTGTTTTGTTTTTTTGAGACAGACTCACTTTGTTGCCCAGGCTAGATTGAGTGCCATAGCATCAGCCTAGCTCACAGCAACCTCAAACTCCTGGGCTCAAGCGATCCTACTGCCTCAGCCTCCCAAGTAGCTGGGACTACAGGCATGCGCCACCATGCCCGGCTAATTTTTTGCATATATATTTTTAGTTGGTCAATTAATTTCTTTCTATTTTTAGTAGAGACGGGGTCTCCTTCAGGCTGGTTTCGAACTCCCGACCTCGAGCAATCCACCCACCTCAGCCTCCCAGACTGCTAGGATTACAGGCATGAGCCACCACGCCCGGCCCCACACACTGTTAAATCCAACAACTAGTCTTCACTTTCCCAGCCCGTGGGTACCACTTGATATAGCTGACTTCTTCCTCCTGTGGAATGACTTTCTTTACTTGGCTTCTCCTGATTTTCTTCTGACGTCATTATCTGCTCCTTCCCTGGCTTTTGCTAGTTCTTCCTCCTCTCTCAAAATATAAATGTCTCATTGTCCAAGAGTACAGTCCTCTTCTATACCAACACTCACTCCCTTGGTGAGCTCATCTACACATACTGACGTAGTGAGGATTTCCAAGTTGAGATCTTTGCCTAGATAGCTCTCTCCCTAAATTCCAAACAAAAAATCCAACTTCTGTTGCAGACTGCTAAAACTGGCACTCCTGAGTTTCCCTCCCACCACACCTGCTCCTCCCCTAGTCTTCCACATCTCCTTGGTAAATGCTAACTTGTTTCCAATATCTCAGGCCTAAAACTTTGCATTCTTCTCTAAGAACCCTCTTTCTCCACTCCACCATTAACCTAAAGTAAAAAGAATTAAAGTGAACACTGCATTGTAATCACTATGCTCCAGATGCTATCCTTTTTTCTCTCTCCCCTCCCCTCCCCCTCCCCTCCCCTCCCCTCTCCTCTCCTCTACTTTTCTTTTCTTTTCTTTCTTGTTTGTTGACAGGGTCTTGATCTGTCACTGAGGCTGGAGTGCAGTGCCATGATCATAGCTCACTAACCTCAAACTCCTGGCCTCAAGCAATCCTCCTACCTTGGTCTCCCAATGTGCTGGGATTATAGGCATAAGCCACTGTGTCCAGCACAGATGCTATCCAAAGAGCTTTACATATATTCATTCACTTGATCTTCATGGCAACCCTAAGAGGTAAGCAGTACTATTACCATCCCTATGTTTTAGATGGAGAAACTGAGGTATGGAGAAGTTTGGAAACTTGAGCAAAGTCACAAGTTATTAAATGATGGAGCCAAGACTGAAACCCAAGCAGTCTGGCTCTAGGTACTAAAAATTATGCCCTCTGTCTTTCTCCTGATCTATCAACAAAATCAGATGGCAGCAAATCCAGCAATTGTGCTTTAAAAATGTTTCTCGGTCTTGTTTAATGATTTATCCCTAGTGTTTAGGACAGGGCTTGATATGTATAAGGAATTTAACTATTTGATAAAATAATGGATAAAACTTAGTTCACCTCTCTGAGCCTCACATTCTTTATCTATAAAATAGTGTCACACCCCCTACGTATAAAGAGAAACAAAATAAAGAAGGTCAATAAATCACTTAGCAAATGTTTGGTATACAGCAAGTCCTGCAATCATCCCATTATGTACAAGTGATATACACAGTGCACACAAGGAAGGATTACTTCCATTCAAGGACAACTTCAAGGAAATGTCAAAGGGAGGGATGAACAAGAATGTACCCAGGGATGGGGACAGGACTGAGGGTTAGTGAGACAGAGGCAAAGAAGGGCACTGTGTGGGGAGATGTTACAAACCACAGTGCAGTCAGTGAGCTAAAAGTACTTTGGTATTACTAGCAGTGAAGTACAGGGAGGAAACAGGATTATAGAAGCAAACAAAACACATTTTCAGTATACCCCATTCTGCTGCCAATTTTATGCTGTTAAAAGTGATGTTCAAAACTAGATTCTGGGCCGGGCGCTGTGGCTCACGCCTGTAATCCTAGCTCTTGGGAGGCCGAGGCGGGCGGATTGCTCAAGGTCAGGAGTTCGAAACCAGCCTGAGCAAGAGCGAGACCCCGTCTCTACTATAAAAAAAAATAGAAAGAAATTAATTGGCCAACTGATATATATATAAAAAATTAGCCGGGCATGGTGGCGCATGCCTGTAGTCCCAGCTACCCGGGAGGCTGAGGCAGAAGGATCACTCGAGCCCAGGAGTTTGAGGTTGCTGTGAGCTAGGCTGACGCCACGGCACTCACTCTAGCCTGGGCAACAAAGCGAGACTCTGTCTCAAAAAAAAAAAAAAAAAAAAAAAACTAGATTCTGGTAAGCATAAAATATTTTTGTATGTACGTATGTATGTATGAATTTATTTTTAAAGAGATGAGGTCTCACTCTGTCGCCTAGGCTGGAGCACAATAACGTGCTCATAGTTCATATCCCTGAACCCTCAGGCTCAAGTGATCCTCCTACTCAGCCTCCCAAGTAGCTGGGACTACAGACACACACAACCGCACCTAGCTTATTTTTAGTTCTCAAAACAGAATTGCAGAATTGCCTTTAAGGCAAAACTTTAATTTCCAATATAAGGATGGCAATGCAAATAAATAGTGGACTTGACATTTAAGAGCTGGGTAAGTACTTACTCTGAGCACTGTTTCCCCATTTGAAAACCAGGTAAATAACAGTCCTCCTTAACTTCTGTAATGATTACCTAAGCATCACCTGCTCCATGATGTTGCTATGGAACCACTCTGTAGGTCCTGAACTGACCCACGTGATGTTGGCACATACTTCCTTTGCAGCACCAGCAACTTTTTCAAATAAACTTTTTATTTTGGAATAATTTTAGATGTACAGAAAAGTTGCATGTGAACAGAGACTTCTCAGTTTCCTTCACTGTTAACACCTTACATTATCATTGTATATTTGTCAACTGGTACATTACTATTAACGAAATTCCATACATTATTTAGATTGTGTCAGTCTAATGTCCTTTCTCTGTTTCAGGATCCCAAGCTACACTTAGACCAGTAACATTTGGGTGCTCATTTGCTTACTGTGTTATAAACAACATGTAGGTAGAGGCTCACTCTCTTTGCATCCTCAGTGCCCAGCACAGTGCCTGGCACACACTGGGTGCTATAAGTTTAGTTTCTTAACTCTATCCCTAGTCATTTTTACTTAGTTTCTTGTTGCTTTTATGTAGGAAAACTGCTCAAGCCAAAAGTCTGGATGTCAGCCTGATTCTTTTTTTTCTCTGATTTCCTCCATCCCAGGCATCAGCAAGTCCTATTCATGTGACCTACAAAATGAGAATCAAGGAAGCACCTCTCTCCTGTCAACTCCCACCACCCTGGCCAAGCTGCCACTATCTTGTGTTTGAAAGACGGCTTTCCCTCTTGCCCCAGCCAATGCTCTCTCTATATCAAATCAGAACGATTTCCTTAAAACTCTATCATGTCCTTCCCCTGTCTGCAATGACTCTATTACTTGCAAAATGCAATACAAACTCCTGATCTGGGCTTACACAGCCTTCAGGGTTTACTCTCTCCTCCCTCTCCAACCTTCCTGCTCCTCTCTGTCTGCGACTTCCGAGGCTCAACCACACTGGCTGGCTGCTTTTTGACTCTTCAGGCCCATCAAGTTCATCCCTACCCTTGAAAATTTCATATTAGCTGGTCCCTATACCTGGAATGTTTTTCTTCTTGATCCCTGCATGGCTGGTTCTTTCCCGTCATTCAAAGTCAGATTAAATCTTCCCTCCTTGGCTGGGCATGGTGGCTCACGCCTGTAATGCTAGCACTCTGGGAGGCCAAGGCAGGTGGATTGTTTGAGCTCAGAAGTTTGAAACCAGCCTGAGCAAGAGCAAGACCCCATCTCTACTAAAAATAGAAAAAAATTAGCCAAACAACTAAAAATATATATAGAAAAAATTAGCTGGGCATGGTGGTGCATGCCTGTAGTCCCAGCTACTCGGGAGGTTGAGGCAGTAGGATCGTTTAAGCCCAGGAGTTTGAGGTTGCTATGAGCTAGGCTGACGCCACAGCACTCAAGCCCGGGCAACAGTGTGAAGACTCTGCCTCAAAAAAAAAAAAATCTTCCCTCTTCATAGAGTCCTTTTCTGACCATGGTTACACTTAATCATCCTGCTGCTTTCTGTACTGCACTTCTGTTGGTTTTTTATTGTTTATCTCCTTCAACTTGAATGCAATGAGACTTGATCTGGGTGGCTACAGAGGTGTCATATATATGTCAAAATTCAACCAGCTATCCATTTAAGATGTGTGTACTTTACTGCATATAATAAACTATACCTTAAAAATAACATGGCCGGTGCTGTGGCTCACACCTATAATCCTAGCTCTCTGGGAGGCCGAGGCGGGCGGATTGCTCGAGGTCAGGAGTTTGAAACCAGCCTGAGCAAGAGCGAGACCCCGTCTCTACTAAAAATAGAAAGAAATTAATTGGCCAACTAATACATATAGAAAATACTGGCCGGGCATGGTGGCGCATGCCTGTAGTCCCAGCTACTTGGGAGGCTGAGGCAGGAGGATCGCCTGAGCCCAGGAGTTTGAGGTTGCTATGAGCTAGGCTAACGCCACGGCACTCACTCTAGCCTGGGCAACAAAGCGAGACTCCGTCTCAAAAAACAAAAAACAAACAAATAAAAAACAACAAAACAAAATCTATTAGAGTTAGGGCATTATATATCTTTTTACTGCTAATCCCGAGTTCCTTGAACAGCACATAAGAGGCAGTCAACATCACATTAAAAAAAAAAAAAATCAATAAATACCTGCCAAGTGACACCTCCAAAAAATATAAAGGAGAAAAGCAAGAACAGATTAGAAGAGGGGGAAAAAAGCAGTCAAGAACATAAAAGGGCAATAGCATCAATAGGAGAAAACTGAGCAGACAGCACAACTCTACCTAAAGATGCAATTCAAAAGACACTCAGTTGGACATGACCACAGCTCAAAATGCTGACTGTAACTCAAGGCAGCAATCAATAATCAGGTCCTGTTAAGGCCTACTATATTCCCAGGACTGAGCTAAGTATTTTAGAGGAAAACAGTAATTTTTAAATTGTCTCAATATATAAAGACCCTCTGGAGAAGCAGTAAGTGTAAAAAGGAAAAATAAACACCTATCATTTAAGACATTGAAGACTGAAGAGTTTCCATGTATTATGTCTGATGTGTGATAACATGAACTAAACTGAATTCTTTCAACAACCTTATACATGTATACAAGGCATCAATTTTCTGTGTTAAGAAGATAAACTGACTATGCCACTCATACAACAGGGCATAAGACCTCAAGTATCAGAAGAGGGATGATGACACTTGGTCAGAAAAAAAGCATCTCTTCTTACAGGACTTTGCAGAATCATGGATACCCTCTTCTTCTGCTCCATCATATTGAAGTCCTGACGAAGGTCTGGTGCCATGTTCCTCTCCCGCAAGTATTCTGGATTGTTCTCATCCACTCTGTCGAAGTACCTCTCCTTATGAGGGGCTGTGGTCGGGGGTGGTGAGGTCACCACTGCAGCCCGAGTATCACCATTCATTGTACAATCTTTCTAAGTACCTATAAAAACAAAATAAAAGAAATTATTATTTTCAAATCAATGTTCAATAGTGTTTCATAATGAGTTCATCCCCCTGACAAATACCATCTTCACCAGGAGGACAGTCTGATAGACAGGAGCAGCCATGACTTATAAGGCTTCTTTCTGGCTTCGGAAGCACATGGCTGATCAGCTATCTCCTGCCCTTCCACCAACCAATGGATTATTTTGTCCTGGCCATTGTCCTTCAGAACACAACAAGAGAACAATCTAACCAAGCAATTATGTCCTCTGCTAACTTCAAGAACTAAATATTAAACTTGTAACCACATGATACTTCAAAATCGTGATTTGTTCCACAGGATCTGCTAACAGTAGCACAGTTTGTTTTGGAAGAAATTTGATTTCTGATATTTTTCCCAAAAAGTATCAACAGTGGTCTTAACAAAGGATTCCCCGAACAGATCAATAGAAGAAAAGCTGTTCACACATCTGTACTCATACAAATGGGAAATATCCACCATTAACATCACCCTTTTTGGTTCAAAGAACAATAGGTACCAGAAATGTTAAAATGCCCCAGTTTATGAATAACCTAAAAAGATGCCAAGATGGCTCAAATTTAAAAGTCTACTAATATGGCAACTGACTTTACATTCTTTTTAATCCCAGTCTTTTACATGAAACAATGTTCAAACCCACTAAATTATGTTCATCTTTAACTACTAAATCTCTAGGCAGCACCTTTACTAATCACACAAAGAGTTTCAATTTCTAGTTCTGGTTCCATAAAGCATGACAGCAGAGTTTACTGAGTATCTATTATGTCCTGGTATTTTGTGCTGGTCACAAAAATTAATTGAACATGGTCTACACTTCAAGACAGACTCGCTGTGAAAGGGAGAGGTGCTGATTTGAGAGTAATCAGCATACAGATGACAAGTTAAAGGCACTAGAGGAGAAGAAAATGGCCAAGGAGATCATAAATTGAGAAGACGGAGCAGAACCAACACCTACAAGAGTTTCCTGCATATTTTGGGTTTCTAAATAAAAAATGTTCTAATATATGAAGAATAGGAAGGAAAGGATGAAGAGTCAAGATGAGAAATAGCCTCAGAAGCCACAAGCAGAGTTTCAGTGGTGTGTGACTGACAGTTCCTCAAGCAAAAAATAAACAAGGTAGGGATTTTGAAGGGTTGATTAAATTAGCAACTAAGAAAGTGACTGGTGCCCCTTCCTTACACCATACACAAAAATTAATTCCAAATGGATCACAGCAAAAACTATACAATACTGTAAAATGGGAATCAAAGTCTCAGGGCCACCCCAACTAGATGCCTCATGCAAAAGAGAAGGTAAAGGTCTCAGGCACCTGTGAACAACTGGCCCCAGATCATTCATTAAGGAAATTAATTCCTTGCTGGCCACTCATAAGGACAAGCAAATTTTAACTATGTCTAGCACATAAAACTAAATCATGTTCAATTTACACACTAATAATGAATTATAAGCTTATCTTTACAGGGAACACAACTGAAACAAGATAGAATCAGACATTCTCCCACCTACCTGGGGACATCTACATAATTGATGCTTCCTTTACTCTCTTTTTCTCTTCTTTGTCCTCATTTTACATAAAATGTAGATTTCCTGGGCCTCACAACACAAGAATGTAACCACTTTGCCTCATTAGCCCCATGTCCTATTTTCCTTCTCTCTTTATCCCTTCAAAATTCTAAAGGTTCCAACTTCTCCATCGGAAAGACAGCCACAGCTTGTCTGCAGTTCATGCGTCCTCAACGTTGGCTTAATAAACCTCCATGGACTGAGATTTTTTGCCTCAGTCATTTACTTGGGTTGACAAATGGCAACTACAAAGGGACCTCTGAGAACAGTTTGGCCTTCTTAGCCTGTAGCAATTTTCCAACTGGTCCCTTGGTACCAGCTAGAGCTCCTTACCACTCTGACCCATTGGGCAATTCACTGAGGTTTTGGGCTGCTCCCTCCAGAGATCCACCGATCTCTGAACTTTGTAGTTGAGATCTGAGAGTTACTCTGCCATGCAACTTCTTTAGGGTAGTTTTGTTTGCTTCTGATAAGGAAGGCAAGTTTCCTGATTCCATGACAATGGAGAGCAGGCTCAGCTTGGGCCCCATCTCCAGGGAAGTAGCTGGTCTGGGATTTCATTTTAGAATTTGATATTTGAGAATTAAGGCTTACTGTCAGCTGGCTATAACTTCTCCTTATGCTTAGCGATATCAATATTAATTATGCAATTGCTCTTTTTTCCTGTTTTTGGTTTTAGTCTTATTTTACATTAGATTTGACCAATTATGGAAAACAATGCCTCTAAAATTAACTAAAACCTCCATAGCTCAATGCACCAGCCAGTAAAAAAAAAATAAAAAAAAAAAAATAATAGCTTACCATGAAATATATTTCTTTGACTTATTTTGAGATGCATGCTACAAGCTGTCTTTGTACACATCTCTACAGGTATCTTTTCACACGCATAGAGAAAATCCATTAATACTGCCAAGATTTTCCTTTACCTAAACTAAAAAAGATTAACTGACAGTCCCATACCATTAAAGTTTTAAAAGGAAACATTTACTTTATTCTACCTGAGGACTGACTATTAACTATGAGACTTTATCTGCATAACAAGACTCCCTTTGCTACCTCTTTCTCTTCTCCCTCCCAACCCAGTTTTGCTATGTTTTCATTCTAAAGGCTCCCATGTATACATGTTAAAAATTGATTCAAATGTCTTTTTCTCCAAGCTTATAGAAATCTTACCCTTATGGTCAGACTAATTAAGATTAAACAGATTTGTTTGTAAGGTGTTTTACTAAAATTAAGTTTATTTTTAGTAAAGTGTAATTAACATTTAATATACTAATGCAAATATTTAAAAATTGGTTTACTCTTTTAAACAAAATTTTCATGTAATATTAATAAAAATAAATTTTTTCCACCTTTTGAGTAAACTGCAAAAAAAAGGAGGGAAGAGAGAAAGAAACAGATTCAATTTACCTTCTTTATTAGCTTGCTTTTCAGTTTGTCTTTATTAGGTCTGTTTGTTTGGGAAATGAGTCTCCTATCTACTAAAGAGTAAAAGTTTTTGCCTTTATTTGAATTATCACTTTGGCTGAATACATGACTATTCCTATCTTATAGGAATCTGTAAGTATGCTTTATAACAAGTGTTTTAATCCTTTGATATTTGGCAAACTTCTCAAAATCAAAATTTTAAATTCAATCTTTTTCACCTCAAACTAGTTTTTTTAATAACCTCTAAGAAAGACACATTCGGCTTATTTGGCATGCTAAAACTACACAAAAAGCATTGTCAAATATGAAATGGTATTTAACTTTCTTTGCGTTATATTTGTATAAATGTGTTATTAATATGTGTTCCAAAACTATACAGATTCCTAAAATTCTGATGTCTTGGTGTATGAGAAGTAATTGGAAGGCAGCCTTGTTAATCAAGTAGCTAACAAAGGAAAATAAACTATCAAACAGAAAGAGAAATAAACCAACAGCACATAATTAATTGCCCCTTTGAAGAGAAAACTCATAGCACAACTGCCCTTTGTTTTCTTTGATTAAACACCAGAAGCTCAACTTGTTATCTCCAAGAGTTTCGTTTTTCACAGCCTTGAAGAGCTCAAAGCTGATAACAGGGGTGTGAGCTCCCATTCCAGCCCTTTGTCTCAGTTCCTGCCAAAACCACATGTCAAGGACTTTGATAAAGTTCAGCTTTACAGAGAAAAGAAAAAAAAAAAAAAAAAAACTAAAAAGCACAGGCAGCAGTTTCACAGCCATTTTGCCATCAGTTGGCTGCAATCAATTTTTTTCTTTCTCTCTGCCCCCAAATAAAAACCCCAAACCTCCTATCCTCTGTGCTGACACTTTCTTTGCCTTCTTTCCTGTTGTGCCCTTCGCACCTTTGGGGAGTAAAATAAACTTTCTTTTATTTCTTTAATGTGTTTCTTCAAAACTATTCTACTCCTGGCATAAGAATTCTTTCTCCAACTTGTACCATGAGCTCCTCGTGAGTCCCCACTCTAATAATTATCATTATTATGTTAAACTGTTAGTGCCAAAGAAACAGCCAAATTTCCCTGTCAACTGTCTCTTTAATCTCTTTAACCATAGCTATGCTAAGACTTTTTTTTTTTTTTGAGACAGAGTCTCACTTTGTGGCCCAGGCTAGAGTGCCCTGGCATCAGCCTGGCTCACAGCAACCTCAATCTCTGGGGCTCAGCGATCCTCCTGCCTCAGCCTCCCGAGTAGCTGGCACTACAGGCATGCGCCACCATGCCCGGCTAATTTTTGTATATATATTTTTAGTTGGTCAATTAATTTATTTCTATTTTTGGTAGAGACGGGTTCTCGCTCAGGCTGGTTTCGAACTCCTGAGCTTGAGCAATCCGCCCGCCTCAGCCTCCCAAAGTGCTAGGATTACAGGCGTGAGCCACCACGCCCGGCTAAGACTTTTTGTTACAATTATTTTAATTCTCTAAAAATAGTTTATAACTGACTACAGTCCAGAATTTTCTTCTTCAAGAAAATTCAGGCCAGGCGCAGTGGCTCATGCCTGTAATTGTAGCACTCTGGGAGGCCAAGGCGGTCAGGAGTTCAAAACCAGCCTGAGCAAGAGCAAGACCCAGTCTCTACTAAAAAAAAAAATACAAAAGAAATTATCTGGACATTTATGTGTGTGTGTTTTGTTTTCCAGAAATTAAGAAAACCGTTTCCTTCTTTGAGCTATTTTTTTTTTTGAGACAGAGTCTCGCTCTGTTGCCCAGGCTAGAGTAAGTGCCATGGTGTCAGCCTAGCTCACAGCAACCTCAAACTCCTGGGCTCAAGCAATCCTGCTGCCTCAGCCTCCTGAGTAGCTGGGACTACAGGCATGCGCCACCATGCCCGGCTGATTTTTTCTATATATATTAGTTGGCCAATTAATCTTTTTCTATTTATAGTAGAGACGGGGTCTCGCTCTTGCTCAGGC